GAAACTGTTGGCGATAAATATATGGCAGTTTCTGGCTTACCTGATCACTGTGAGGACCATGCGAAATGTATAGCACGCTTAGCTTTGGATATGATGGATATGGCCAACAACGTTAGAATGGGTTCAAATCCAGTGGTAAGTAATATAACTTATATAGCTAAAATCATATTCTAAAATAAAATGAAAATTCTTTTAAAGACGTACTTAAATTCTTACTTTTATATTCAAATCATTTAGTCTTCTATTACCTTTTACTTAAAATAACCTTTATTTTTGCATTTTCTTTTAACTACTTTTTTATTATTTTGTTTTTTTAAAGGTAAAATTTATTACACTTGACTGCAACCTGCAATAGCAATAAATCTTTTTTATTACATCAAGTTATAAAGTTGCATCTATTATGACTCTTTCTGAACTTAAGCAAAGTTTTTAATTGTTAAAAACTATCTTCAGTTTAAGTAATAAAAATTATTTTAGCTAAAAAATCATTAAAAAAAATTTTAATTTTTGTTTTTGTGTCCGTTTACTTTATATATATTTTTTATTGTAATAATAAACTAAAGTTTTTTGTTCACTTTATGAGATGTATTTTCAAAAGATTTAAGATGCTTTGCTTGAGAATCGGTAATCTGATATATATTTAAAATTCTTCCTTTTTTATCGTAAAAATATTTTTTTCAAAATAACATTTTCATTAATACTTTTGTGCTATTTCCAAATGATAAAAGCAGATTTTTATTGCATTTATTCTGGTAGTTACGCTCTACCATAATTTTCTTTTAATAATATATAAAGTGTTAACTATCTTTTACAAATTTAATAACGTCATAGCAATAGAAGTAATAAATAAAACTTTAAATATGATTTCATTTTCATAACATTTTTTTATTAAACAAATCAAAACTTTTTATATACTACTTTTTAATATTTTTTCCCTGCTCTTCAAATATAGATGCAAAAATAATATTAATATTAATAATAAATAATATATAAGTGTAACAATCATATAAGGCACACACAAATCATCTGTAAGGCCTCTGTCTAATGTAAAGTAACGTATTTCAAAGCATAATGCTTTTTGTTGAATTTTCTACGATCATGGCACACACATATCATTCCGTATATGCTTCAAGACCGATCTGTTCGACACCCATTATTCCGTGATTGAACTGAGCGATAGCTATCTCGTGGTAGCTATCACTAAATATTTTGTCATCTCTTT